ACTTTAAAAGAGGAGACATTTGGCATATTGTTTTGAAAATCTTGTGGACTTTGCATAGCTTCTCGAAATACTATGACTAGGTCTTGACATATAGACATGGTGCAGATTTAATATACAAGCTAATCATAAAATATAGCATTGTATTCTTGATGTCTAAACAATGCTTTAGGTTTTGAACGGTGCAGAAAAGTCCAGCAGTTGATACATCCTATAAAGAAAAATGTCTCAAGGGTGAGATAACTGCTCAAGAGAACAAAGACTCTTATCTTTTATTCAGTCAAACAAAACAAATATATTACTCCATTTCCCTGGAAATTATTTACTTGTATAGTTGATATTTTAATTAATTAATTTATTTTTTGTTTTTGTTTTGTTTTGTTTGTTTGTCTTTCAAGACAAGCTTTCTCTGTGTAACAGTCCTGACTGTCCTGGAACTCACTTTGTAGACCAGGCTGGCCTCAAATTCAGAGATCATCGACCTGCCTCTGCCTCCCAAGTCTGAGTCATGGAGATTCAGATATTGGTTTTGAGCAAGTTTTTAGCATGTGTAGCATGTTAAAAATATTTATTAAAATAGAGGCAACAAGGGATATATTTGGGTAATCCCAGCACTTGGGAGATAGAGACAGGAGGATCAGGAGTTCAAAGTCATCGTGAGATACTGCAGCATGATTGAGGCTAGTTCTGCCTTGGTGTGGGGGGTATCGAGACTATCATGATTAGCTATGGTGTTAAAAAGGCATGTAATCTCAGCTATTTGGGGGTTGAGGCAGTAGGATAACCACTCTGAGGCCAGAGTCTTAAATGAGACCCTGTCTTAAAAATAATATGTGGCTGGGCGGTGGTGGCGCACGCCTTTAATCCCAGCACTTGGGAGGCAGAGGCAGGCGGATCTCTGTGAGTTCGAGGCCAGCCTGGTCTACCAGATCTAGTTCCAGGACAGGCTCCAAAGCTACAAAGAAACCCTGTCTCTAAATAAATAAATAAATAAATAAGTGATAATATATACCTTGCAATGTTATGAGAATGATAGAAATCGATTTTGAATATTAGAAAGTAGCTACAATAATTACTATTTTGTGTTATAACAATAATATCCAAGCTATAAGAACCACATTTCTTATTGAATTACTGCCTTGTGATTTATTTTGTTCATTCAGAAATGCCAATCTCCCCTTTCAAGCAAATACTTTTAGATTGAAGAATTTACATTATTAATAAGTTTAGACATGGAAAATGTTTGCCAGTTCACTGGAAAAGTTTGTTCAAATAGAAAGTGCTTAAAAAAAATCCAAGTTGTAAATTTATCTTGGAGAAGATGATCTAGACTAAATGCATGGAAGATAAACATATATTACATATTGTGTTGTGATATGCTAATCTAGCATAGTAGTCTTATGACAGTATTACATATCTAAAAACTGTTTGTAATTCATACTCTTTTGTTTGTTTGGTTGGTTTTTTTGAGACAGGGTTTCTCTGTTCAACAGTCCTGGCTGTCCTGGAACTCACTTTGTAGACCAGGCTGGGCATGAACTCACAGAGATCCACCTGCCTCTGCCTCCCAAGTGCTGAAATAAAAGGCGTGCGCCACCACCGCCTGGCCTGTAGTTCTTAAATCTGTTTTTCAAGAGTCAACCCGGCCTGGTGGCACATACCTTTAATCCCAGCACTTAGGAGGTAGAGACAGGCTGATGTCTAAGAATACAAGGTCAACCTGGTCTACAGAGAGAGTTCCAGTACAGCTAGGGCTACAAGAAAAGTCCTGTCTTGAAAAACCAAAAGAAAAAAAGAAATTAACATTAAATAGCCAATGCTTAAAATTAATCAATGAAACATAAACTAAGAAAATGTAAATTTCCAAAGCAGATGACAGGTCTTCAGTGTCTGAATAGCATTACATATAATTGTATATATAATTATATATATTATATATCATAAAACTAATCAAAGATGTCACTTTACGTAAATATAGGAAATACTCCACATGGACACTTAGCATTTATGAACTCATGTGCCAAATGGAATCAAATACATTAAGCAAAAGCTAGAAAATTAAAATAAAAAGTTAGAGAACTATTTAAATTCTTGAATATACTCAGAGGAGGCACAAAGCAAGACATGGATACTGTGCAGAAAGTAATAATCCTTCCCACAAGCCTTGAAAGTAGAAACTGATTACCTCATTCTTGAGGACAGTTGAGTAGAACTGCAGTTTAAAGTTTAATTCAAGTCCTTATGGAAATGTAAAACCATTTTCTTAATTTTTGAGCCATTGAAGAAAGATACATTCACATTAAGATTAACCAGTAGAAAATAAAGATAAAAAGTGATTGAAATGGGGAAACAGCAAATGACTTGGGTTAGTAATCAAAACACTGACTAGAAAGCCAGAACTAGTGTGAGTGGTTGTTAGGGCCAAATCTGGACTTTGATAACTGAATAGATGTGTGAGAATCAAAGATGAATAGTGTAAATGGAGTTTTGTCTCCTATTATACTTGCATGTAGCGAGGTATTTGAAATCCTAGCTGGTGCATGGAACTCCAGCCTCCTATTGCTGCCTAAGGCCTTGGCATGGTGCAGGCCTTCTCTGTGCATCACTACTGCCTTCCAGCAATGGGTGTGCGTGGTCACACACTGCAGCTGATTTGTGTATTGTTTACCGGTCCATTGGATCTTTTCTAAAGGACCAAGCATGTAAATGCCGGTGTTATCAGCATCCTACCCATCACTTGAGGAAACCTAAAATATAGAGAACCATTTATTGCTGTATACAAATGTGCAGCAAAAATAGAGATCAAGAGAAAAATATCATCTGAACCTCATCAGCTACTAACTTGACAACGTGGTCTTATTGACATGCATTTGGTTTCTTTTAGTTAATTTATTTAAAGTTTTTGTGGTGGGAGTCTCATTATGTGGCCTCGGTTAACTTTGACCTGAATGCCTCTACTTTCCAAGAGCTAGAATTGCAGACATGTGCTACCACATGCTTTTTACAACTTAAAGTTTTTTGATTTAATCTTTTGACTAGAAGTAAATTTATATGGTTTAGAAGTTTATGTTGTTAAAACAGCAGCAGCAGTTATGGTCTTCATCTATCTCCTGTCTACTCTTCCCTTAACTTGCTTGCTATGCTATCTCCTCTCCACCCCCCCCCCCCCAAAAAGAGGTTTTCTCTGTGTTAACAGCTCTGTCCGGAAACTCACTCTGTAGACCAGGCTGGCCTCCAGTACACAGAGATCTGCCTGCCTTTACCTCCTGAGTGCTGGGGTGAAAGGTGTGCACCACTACTGCCTGGTGCTGTGCTATCTTTTACCTCCATAATTGTCAGTGGCAACTTGTGTGCTGAACTTGCATAAATAAAGTGCTCTAATGTGCAGTTTACATTAAATTAAATTTTTTTTTAAACTTTAGGGATACTCCTTAGAGTTAATATTTGTGACTTTAAAGTATTTTTAAAAAGAAAAATAAAGAGAAACAACATTTCAAAAAACAAGAGATTTTTTTTTCTTTTTTGCACATGGTGCTTCTTAACCATCTGTAACTCTAGTTTCATGGGTTCCAATGATTCTGGTTTCTGTGGGCACCGAGCATACCCATGGCGTGTGTGTGTGTGTGTGTGTGTGTGTGTGTGTGTGTGTGTAGGCAACACTTGCATGTATAAAATAAATGTTAGGAAAACTAAGTGTGTGTATATAAATGTGTGTGTGTGTGTACACACACACTTATTCTTATACATACATACATACATACATTCATACATACATACATGAGTTCTGGGTCTTTCATGCTTGCAAGGCCAGTACCTTATTGATTGAACCATCTCAGATAGTATATGATTGTGTGTTGGGGGGGTGGATTATTTTATGTACTTCTGCCTGGTCTAGAACTTACTAAGTAGTCCTAGTTTGAACTTCATAGTAATCCTGTCTCAGATTCTTCTGTGGTAGGATTACAGGTGTGGGGCACCATACCTGGGTAAGGTCCCCTTTTAAATATCATATGACTTACATCTTTTAAACATTCACCTCATTTTTTTCTAAGCCATTTCATGCTTCCCTAATTTCTTTAAGGATTGGCTAGCATAGGAATGCCCTTTAGTGTAGGTGGAATTTTTCATCTGGACTGCTGGCCAGCTCCCAAATAACCACACAGAGATTACAAATTATAATCTTAATTATAAATGCACGACTGATAGCGTAGGCTTGTTACTAACTAGCTCCTTCTTACAACTTAAGTCAACCCATTTCTATTAATTTGTGTACTGCCACGTGCCTCATGGTTTTTTACCTCATCTTCTACATGTCATGCTTCCTCTGTGCATCTCCTAACAGCTCTGTCCTTCTTCCCAGCACCTTCTCTGCCCTGAAATTCCTGCCTAGCTATTCGATAGTCAGCTCTTTTATTAAACCAAATCAGAAGGTGCCTTGGCAAAGACACATCTTCACAGTGTACATAAAGATAAGCCTTTAGTACCTCTGCCAACAGGTTGTTGCAGCTATTATTCAGCTGCGTGTTCTTTGTTGGGCTCCAAGGTCAGACTCATGTTCTGCTGCAGTAAAGGCAGCACATTTCTCTCTAGTGTGCTGATTCTGGTATGCTCTTGCTAAGAAAGTAGGAAAGCAGCTTTGTGAAGAACTATGTGCCTAATGAGTCCATCTTTGTGAGGAACCTTGGGTATAAAAACAGCTATAGTACAGAGGCCGTTGGCTGTTACTTTAGATATGCAGTGGCCTCTGGTTATTGGGTTCATAGATCAAAGCAGTATTTAATCTTTGAACAAATGAGGTGTTTAATCAGTGCATTTTTAAGAATGGCTGATATTTTCCTTTCTTTTCCTGTTGCTTTCATTGATTCTAATATTGAGTTAGAATTGAGTGTAGTCACTTAGAGAAACTTTGGAATAATCCAGTTATCATAGCAATTTAGTGTAGTAACTTTACTGAAATTTTTCTTTTAAATTTGATTTCCCTTTTTTCTTTTCCTGCCCACCAGGGAGTAACTATCCCCAGTCAGAGGCGCTATGTATACTATTACAGCTACCTGCTAAAGAACCACCTGGATTACAGACCAGTGGCGCTGCTGTTTCACAAGATGATGTTTGAAACTATTCCGATGTTCAGTGGCGGGACTTGCAGTAAGTGCTCCAAATTCTCGTGCTTCTGTGTGCTGGAAATACCAAAATGCGTATGTAAAAAATTTAGAAATAAACATACCTGGCTAAAGCTTACTCAGGAGACTCTATTTCTGAAGTGTTGGAATTAATTAGTTCAAGTGGTTCAGTTCACTGGGCTAAGAAAGCTAAGAATGGTGAGTTTTAGTGTTCTTGAAGAGAATTACATTTATGGGAGAAATGTTGTGTATTATAACCGCCAACTACAATCTCCCTTCTGACCAAGTAATTGAAGGATACTCTTAGAGGCCAGCGTGAAAGTTGCAGTGGGATCACCAATTTACTGGTCTTGAGGCAGGAACCAAGCCCATCTGAGGGAGACAAATGTTTACAGTCACGGTGATGGAAGAGAGAAGCCACTGCAGCAACCTCCTTACAAAGAGTACTTACAAAAAGCCTTACAAAGAGTAAGGGTGTGTGAGTCAGAAAACCTGGGTTTAGCTCTTGGTTCCAGCCCTTGGCCAGTGAGCTGGCCATGTCATCTGCCTTGCTGAGTTTGCTTGTTAGTAAAATGAAGAGATCCTGGATTCTGACCCTCCCTTGATAAGTACTGTCATGACATTGCTATCTCCTGTGATCCCTCTTTTACCTTGTATCAACCCACCGCGATCATTTTGATCTTGTTCTCTTTGCCTTTTGTTCATGACTAGAGTTCTTAGCAACATAACTCTAGGATTAGGAAGCCCAATCAATACCTGGACCCATGGCAGTTGTTTAATGAAGGAGAATGTATGGGTGGGATGTATATGGAAACTAGATGGAGGAATTTTATGCAGCCCCAGAAGACCAGGCTGCTGCATCATCTCTTGTTCTATAACAGTGTTTTGACACTGAATGTCACCTGGGAGTAGTCAGTCATATTTTATACTATTTGTAACTACAACGTAATACCATAGTTTCAGATAGATGTCACTTATTAGAATTCCTTATTTTATAGATGCTTTGCAATTTGTTAGTGATTTTAGTTTTTAGCTTTAAGCTAATTTATTTAGGTAAATTAATTTGTTCTCTCTAAAATAATTTATATGGAGAACATTAATTTCTAGAAGTCATCTATCTTTGTCTGATGGGTCTGATTACCATGTGTGTGACAACTTTATCAGAGGTTCCAGATTTATTAATATAGCTTGTTGGAAAGTTCTAAGGAATGTCACTAATCATATCAGTATAATTTAAAAAAACCTGTGTACAAGGCACAGTGGACTTGACCTAGGAATATTACCAGATTCATAGAAAAAAGGAGAAAGGTTAAAACTTAATGCTCTTCCTATGGTTTATGTATCAGTATAAGAATCAAATGAGTGCTGCAGAGGTCATTTTAGGAGCCAGGCAGTGGTGGTTCACACCTTTAATTCCAGGACAGGCAGGTGGATTTCTGTGAGTTCAAGGCTAGCCTGGTCTACAGAGTAACAGAGCAAGTTCCAGGACAGGCTCCATGACCAGGAACAGGCTGGGAAACCCTGTCTCAAAAAAAAAAAAATATTATTAGGTACTTAGACTCCTGAATCTTACTGAAGTCAGTTCTACTTTGCCTGTTTGCCTGTCTGTTATTAAACACTGTTTTGTTATCTTTTGGTTTCACAATATTGTTTTTACCTCTCTAGACTTAAAATTATTGACTACTTAATTTCTTTTAAATTTTCTAATTACCTATTTATGTGCTGGGATTTAATACTGTATATTGAAGATATATTAAAGTACTGCTCATGGTGGTGTCTATAAATTATAAATGCTATGTTCATAAAAGGTTTTGGAAGCTGTTAATTTCATGGGAAAGGTCTGCCAATTGGAAAGCATGTACAGCTCAGATTGGCGTGAAGTCTGAAGGAAATGTTGCAGGCAGTGGGAAGTAGGTTGACTTGAAGCACAGCGGCAGGAAACAAGCTGGACAAGAAGCGGAGGTGTGACTGTTACAGGATCTTGAGTGTTGATTTCATGGTGATTTTTAGGGATTATAGCCATGTTTTAAGGACAGTCGTGTTTTCTATAGAATGTTGTGCTAGTGGTTGGGGGAGTAAAACCAGCTATGTGGCTTGCCAGATGTTTCTAGAGCAATGAAATGGGCTTTGTTTGGTTTTCTTTGGCTGTGTATATCCAGAGATTTTTGTTAAAGTTTTTGATCTTAGTTAGGTGGATGATTCACAGAAAGATGAAAAGTACATTTGAAATTTGGAGCCATAAATATTATCGCTTTGGCTTTAAAGTTGTTTTAAATCTAATGAAAACAAGTTCTTCATGGGAAGACGTGCAGTGGGGCTGGAGGTTTGTCTTGGGTGCAGTACTTGACTAGGACTGGAAAGCACAAGGCTGTGCAGAAGATGCTCAGTGTTTAGATCGTTGGTGGATATGAGCATAGATACAAGTCTAGGTGAGAGGTCATATTTGTTTGGGAGAAACATCAGGAACAAGATAGAAATTTAGCCTTTTGGTTGAGTATGTTGTTAATGTAGGAAAGGGTGAAGACTGAGAAAGGGGAGGAGCAAGGTTCAAGAAAAAGAGACAGTGTTGTGAAACAGATAAAACTAGTAATGAAAACTAAAGTATCTTCTGCAGTTACCAGGAGCTGGCAGCATTTTTCTTTCTTGATTATTGTCTTGGTGTTTCTAAGTGAAGGAAAGTTTTAGTGTATGGGTTGTAAATATTAATAAGGAAGATCAGTGTACTTTTCTGTTGGGACACACTCTCCCCAGGAAAGTGTACTTTTCATCTTTGTTTACTGGTTCTAGATCTTGTCATTTCTTTAGAACATAATTAACATATCAAATGTTGTGTTTCAAATGTGTAGGTTAGAAGTCAAAAGAACTTTAATAGTATTAGAGTTTTGGTCTTAGGACTTCATCCCAATGTGAAACTCATATTATACCAGAGATTTTTTTTCTTAGTGGCTTTAGGAAATGCTTTATTTATTCATTTCTTTAAAAACTTTATACTGTTTTATTGTACATGACAGCTAAAGGACACTCTCCTTAGTCAGTGTTCTACTTCTGTGAAAAGACACCATGACCATGGCAAGTCTTAAAGCATTTAATTGGGGCTTGCCTACAGTTTTAGAGGTTTAGTCCATTACCAGCATGGCAGTATTCAGGCAGACATGGTGCTGGAGAAATAGCTGAGTGTTCTACATATGGATATGCAGGCAGCAGGAAGAGCAGAGACACTGGACTTGGGTTGAGCTTTTGAAAGCCAAAGCTTCTCCCCAGTGACATACTTTCTCCAACAAGGGCACACCTACTTCAAGGCCACACCTCCTAATTCCTCTCAAGTAGTACCATTCCCTTGTGACTAAGCACTGAAATATATGAGCCTCTGGGCGCCATCCTTATTCAAACTACCACAGATACTGAGTTAAAAATCGCTCAACAGCCCTCCTCCTCAATGCACGCGGTGCACTCATGCACACACACAGTAGAGACCAGGGTCTTACATGCTATAATGGTATATTATTTGTGTTTTAATAAATAAAGCTTGCCTTAAGATCAGTTTAAAGCAGCCACATTAATCAACCATACAGGCCAGGCAGTGGCTGAACACACCTTTAATACCAGCAGCTATACTAGTTAGAGAGGCCTGGGGTATTGGTACACACCTTTAATCCCAAAACTAGAGAGGAATATAAGGTGGGATGAGACAGGAACTCGCTCTCTTTCAGTCTAAAGATTTTATAAAGGTAAAAGCTCTCTAGTGGCTTGGCTTCTTTGCTTTTCTGATAAATGTCTTGTAAATCCATGTTAGAATAACCCCATATGCTTTGTTAAGGGTCCTGTTTTCTATGAGATGATTGCTGTGTTATTGCTTTTATATGTTAAATATGGAGACTCTGTGTGTTTATTAAGTTAGAAATTTCACTTAGATTGATTGGTTTGACTTTTGCATTTTCTCAGTCATTCGTCACATTGATTTAAAAAAAAGTCTCATCTTGAAAGAAATAGCACCTTTGGTTGGTATTGATATTTTTATGCCACATGTCTACATACAAATCTTCTCATTTGAACATACTAATGTCCTGTTTCTCTCTGTCTATAAATGAATTTGAGTACATCTTAGAAATAAAAGGCCAGGCAATGGTGGTACACACCTTTCATCCTAACACTCAGGAGGCAGAGGCAGATGGATTTCTGTGAGTTTGGATCAGTCTCATCTACAAATAAGCTCCATGACAGCCAGGGCTGCACAGTGAAAACCTGTTTCAAAAAACCAAGCCAAAATAAACCAAACAAGAAAAAAAAACCCACAAAACAACAAAAGCATCTTTTCCTTTCCACATCTATAACCATCTTTTGTGAGTTGCTAATCAAATCGTGATGATTTGATGATGAGAAGTTGAACTTAGGCAGTAATTCTAAAATAGACCTGAATTGGAACCAAATAATTGTTGATAAAAAAGCAGTGCTTAGAGGGAAGGAGAGCCCTGCTGTAGTTTTCCCTTGGCGCCTGCTGCATTTCCTGTGGACATGTAGGATAGTTTCCTTTCTTTTTGTCATGATTGTGAGTTTCCATACCTTTAAAATAAATGTAGGCTACCACCCCATGTGAGTGGGCAGCACAAATTGGGCTCCGTGGGTTTCAACCAAAAAGACAGAAAACATGAAGTTCAGGAGGAAACTTGGTTGTGCATCCAGAAAGAGTTAGAGGGAGAGGTGGGAAGTGAATTAGATCAAAGTACTTTGCATGCATATATGAAATTCTCAAGGAATTAATAAAACAAAATATTAAATACGTGGGATAGAGGTCAAAAGAATGATGACTATTTTATATTTATAAATTATAAATGCTTAGGCTTATGTTGTACAGTTTATTTAAATTTTCTTGTTATATTCCCTTTATACAGTTACAAAAGTCCTAGGACGTTGTTTAAATTATTTTATGCTTAAGGTAATTTATGGTGGATCTTTTGCCTAATGTTAATATAAAGCTTTGATATTAATATGTTGTTAAAGTCTAGTCTTGGGACTTACTATTTAAGAAGTAGCAATTGATTTTTTATCTGTAATAGAACTTTACATAAAGGTTCAAAGTGGAGCGATCCTTATTTGGAATGAGTGGTTTTGTTTTTAATGCAATTTATTTCTGTTAATGTGTTTTAGATCAGCAGTTGATATGAAGAATTATCATTTTATGTTTACTTCTGTTACTTTATCATTAAAATAGTTTCTGATCATCTAAGTGTTAAAGGCGTTTATTGTGAAATGATCATATGTGTATTTAACCATGTAGATCCTCAGTTTGTGGTCTGCCAGCTAAAGGTGAAGATCTACTCCTCCAATTCAGGACCCACACGGCGGGAGGACAAGTTCATGTACTTTGAGTTCCCTCAGCCGTTGCCTGTGTGCGGTGACATCAAAGTAGAGTTCTTCCATAAACAGAACAAGATGCTCAAAAAGGTTTGTGCTTCACTTCTGTTGGGTAGAAATAGCCATCCTTAGTGACCTCAGGCCTTTTTTTTAAAAAAGTACAGTATTTCTTCACTGTCCACTGAGCTCTAATGGGTTTCTTGTTAGATTTGCAGACATCTGTGGTACTGATGAGACATGCTTAAGCAGTACCTTTGTGTGTTTTTGTTTTGGGTTTGTTCTGTGATATTATGCAATGATGCAAGCTGAGTTTTGCCCATTTGGGTTTATGTTTATCAAGACTGGACTATTTTACATTTGTTTCCCCAGATTCGCCGAGAGTTTAGTCAGTATTACTTAGTTGAAAGAAATGACAACAAAGAAGTAAATAAAAAAAAAAAGAAAAATACTAATACTAAGACATCTATGTTCAGAATTACTGAGGCTTGGGATACTCTTAAGAGAAGGCCAATACTCAGCTGTAATATCCTCAGTTTGGAGTATCGTGAACATTTAAAATGCTTCTAAAGTGTAGAAGCTTTAGCTAGTAGAAGTGACGCCTGTGAAACACGCAGGACAGTGTATTTCCAGAAAGGGGGTTCATCTTCTCAATCTTTAGATTTTTTTTTTTTTACAAGCAATTGAAGGAAATTTCACTTACTGTAAAACTTGTCAATATTAATTGATTTATCGGGAGAAATGGTTCTGTTTTCTAGAATCTAAGTAGTTAAAAGAGAAAAATCACAAACATACCAAATTAATATTTTTATCATAGACTCATTTTCTACCTCTAATAAAGGGGGAAAAGCTAAGTTTATCTCGGTATCTTTGAGTTACTGTTTGCTTGATTTTGTTTTTGAGACTACAATAGGTGTAAGCCAATATTTCAAAAATCAGATAATTAGAAGGCTCTGGTTTCTCCTCCTACTTCTTATAAAATTCTGGTTCATGTAAAATTGTGTGTGTGTACATTTTTCCCACTGATTTTCTTTTTGTTAGTGTTTGTTTGTATGTTTGGAGATAGGTTCTCACTTTGTAGCTCAGGCTGGCCTGGAACTAAGTAGCCCAGGTTGCAGTGCTTTTGCCTTAACCTCCCAAGTGTTGTGATTATGGGCGTACCAGCACACTTGGCTTTATATTGTCTTTTAATGCTTAATTCACCATTTCCTTGTATTTTTAGGCATGTGCTATTCTTTACTTCAGATCTCAGTCGCACACTTATGTATATGAAACTGAAGATTGGATATTTATATTTGTATATCTTAGATTACTTTACATAAATTTGCATTTATTTTAGATTTTCCTGACTAAGTTATGTTCCTGTTTTGATTTAAATAAAAACAATTTCAGAAAATTAGTACACACCAATGAGCTACATTTTGGAAGTTTAAATAATAATACCTTTTTTTTCTAAGTAAAATATAATTGCTAAGTTAACAACTTTGCTAAAATAACTGAGACCAATAAGGTTGTAAAAAGGCTTATCATGGACTGGAGAAATAGCTCAGCAGTTAGAAGGACTGGCTATTCTTTTAAAGGACCGAGGTTTCGTCCCCAGCACTTATAAATTGGCTTACAGTCATCTGTAACTCCATTCCCAGGGGATCTGAATTCCTTTCTGGGCTCTATGGGTACCAGGCATGCACAGAGTGCACATATGTATATCTAGGCAAAAATGCAGTTGCTAAATTTCCTTAGGGAGTTGGTACTAACCTTCTTAGACTTCTGTTGCTAAGACATCTGAACTTTGCTTCTCTCTAAATCACATAAATTCAAAACATTTTTAAAATCCAGTATTAGAATAGAAAATATTTTTAGAGTTTTAACATAAAAGCAAGTTACCAGATGTACACGATTGATTATATTTTCATCTGAAATTTGAGTGAAGAAGACTTAGTGAATAAGAATGTGACATTCCATAAGTTGTTTGCCTTCACTTAGAATACTGGCTTTTGTGTGGTTTATTATGTTGACTATTTGTGATACGTTTTTAAATAAGTGAAACAAATACTTTTTTCCTTTCTTAGGACAAAATGTTTCACTTTTGGGTAAATACGTTCTTCATACCAGGACCAGAGGAAACATCAGAAAAAGTGGAGAATGGAAGTCTTTGTGATCAGGAAATTGACAGTATTTGCAGTATAGAGCGTGCTGAGAACGACAAAGAGTACCTCGTACTCACCTTAACAAAAAATGATCTTGACAAAGCAAACAAAGACAAGGCCAACCGATACTTTTCTCCAAATTTTAAGGTCAGTTAAAGTCATTTTTGGGGTGGGAGCATATGTTTTATCCTAAGTGTGTAGCTGGAGAACTTGGCTTTGCTCATTTCAAACTAATCATGTGTTACTGCTCTTCTATTTGGAGCATTCCCACAGGCTTGCCTCGTCTTTTCTCTTTATTGCTCTATGTGTTTGTGCTCCTTCTTCCTCTTTTCTTCCTCCCCTCCTCACTTCAGCCTTTCCCTTCTCTGTTTTTAATTCTGTTGTATTTGTTTCATTTGCATGTAACAAACGTAACCATAGGTTATAAACATAATAGTACTCGTCATACTTAAAGTAGAGATAGGTAATTATATGTGTCAAGTGAAAATAATATTCAGTCTTTGAATCTCCAGTTTAAGTTTCCTATAGAATACCCAGGTTTTAATTTCCTTTCTATAAATTTATATTTCTGTCAACCATTTTTCTGCTTTCTGTTTTTTTTAGATAGGGTCTTGCTGTGTAGACGCAGGTTGGACTTGAACTGGCATTCCTCCTGCGTCACCACTTTCTTTTAAATGTATTTCTTTCTAGTTTTACTGTCTTAATATTTCTCTGGCAATGCACCTCAGGTGCTTGCCTAACTAGCATGGGCGATGCCCTGAGTTCAACACCAAGTACTACAGAAATAATCCTTAAAAATAAAGTATATAAAATAAAAAGTTATTGTACACAAAAGCTATTTTCTTTGTTACTGAACACATAAATCAAGGTAAGTACAATGAAACATAGAACTGGCAAAGATGGCCTGATATGTAAAGAGAGGTCTGAATGAACTGGGCAGACTTGCAACAGTTTGGGAAAAGGAAGAGTAGATGCAAGAATCCTAGGCAGGAATGAGCTTGATAGATTGGAGTGGACAAAGTCAGTTTTAGTGAAAGCGAGTCCCAAGGAAACCAGTTTTGTTGTGATGATATGGAGTGTTCAGTATAGAAAAGATGTAATCTGAGTTTGCCTTTAAATATTCAGTTAACTTCCTTAAATGAGACTGGGTAGGAAACTAGGAAGAAGGAAAGAAGAGGGGGGATGAGTGGGGAAGTGAGCTCATTGGCAGCAAGTTAGTGTAGACGAGAGGTAGTGGTTACATGCTCTAAAGACGTGGCAGAAAGGAGTGATAAAATTAGTAAAATTCTTGGAAGGGGGAGCTTAAAGCCAATGTTGGTTGTAAGAAAGTTTATATATAATGACTTAGATAACGGGAGAGAAGCTACAGATAAAGATCTGGTTTAAATCCAGCCTCCTGTCTGCACCAGGTACTGTCCGTTAACATGTTGCCTGGTCTCCTGGGTCTTTGTTTCTTTTCCTTTAAAATGGAAATACTTAATAAGTTTACTGCAGCCATGTGTGTAAAGACTACTGACCCACTCTTTGGACCACTGTGTGGTCTCTGTTAGCTTCATCCATTCTCTATTTAGGTGCAGATTTTGGGGCTAATAGATCTTGAACATATTATCAACCCATGTTTGTGTAGTGTTACTAATATAGAGTTGTCTCAGGCAGAGATAGAAAGAGAAACACGTTCGAAACTTAAGCATTTGTAAATTGAATTTTGGACTGAAAATGTATTTGGTAAATTCCTGAGGTTTCATTTTGCATTTCTTTTCTAGAATTATATAGCTTGTGTTTCTTTAGGCGTTAAGGTCATTTGAAAAGCAAGTTTGTTATAGTCCTCTCAAGTGAATTTGTAAAAAACAAATGCCTTTGCTAATATAAAACTCATCTTAATTGTTCATTTTCATCTTACACTTTCTTTCTCTAGGTGAAATTATACTTTACAAAAACAGTAGAGGAGCCATCAAATCCAGAGGCTAGCAGTTCAACTTCTGTGACACCAGATGTTAGTGACAATGAACCTGATCACTATAGATACTCTGACACCACTGACTCTGATCCAGAGAATGAACCTTTTGATGAAGATCAGCATTCACAAATTACAAAAGTCTGATTTTTTTTTATCAAGAGGGATAAATACCATGAAAAAAAACTTGAATAAACTGAAATGGACCTTTTTTTTTTTTTTAATGGCAATAGGACATTGTGTCAGATTGCAGTTATAGGAACAATTCTCTCTTCCTGACCAATCTTGTTTTACCCTATACATCCACAGGGTTTGACACTTGTTGTCCAGTTGAAAAAGCTTGTGTAGCTGTGTCATGTATATACCTTTTTGTGTCAAAAGGACATTTAAAATTCAATTAGGATAAATAAAAATGGCACTTTCCCATTTTATTCCAGTTTTATAAAAAGTGGAGACAGACTGATGTGTATACGTAGGAGTTTTTCCTTTTATTTTCTGTCACCAGCTGAAGTGGCTGAAGAGCTCTGATTCCCAGGTTCACGTCCTACCCCCTTGCACTTGTGGCAACAGATAAGTCTGCAGTTGGCTAGGAGAAGTTTCTACAGGATTTTGCTACATTCTAATGCATGTTCTTGGGTTGAGGGAATGGAGGAAATGCTCAGAAAGGCATATTTTTAGCTGGGCTCTGGACCATATACCATCTCCAGCTACTTACAAACACCTTTCTTTAGCATGCTACAGTTACTAATCTGGACATCCAAGAAATTGGCCGCTGTCACTGCTTGTTGTTTGTGCATTTTTAAGAGCATTATTGGTGCTAGAAAAGGCAGCTAGAGCGATTAAATTTGTATTGGGGTACAGGAATGAACCTTCTACAGCATCTTAAGAATCTACAAATGAAGGGATATGAAAATAACGTGGTCATAGATAAGAGACACAGCAACAATGACTTAACCATACAAATGTGGAGGCTATCAACAAAGAATGGGCTGGAAACAGAAAAATTGACAATGATTTATTCAGTATGCTTTCTCAGTTGTAATGACTCTCCATCTCTGTAATCAAGGCCAATGCTAAAAGTCAGATGCTGTTAGTACCTACATCAGTCAACAACTCACATCTTTTTATTAGTTTTCAATCATACACCTACTGTGGATGCTTCATGTGCTGGCTGCCAGTTTCTTTTCCTCGTTCAATATAAAATATTTTGTAATTCTTCACAGGAAATTTCAATTTGAGATTCAACAGTAAGCAGTTTTTTCTATAAAGAGGATGATGCACTTACTCAGTCCAGTAGTCGTCAGATGCCCCACCCTTTTGACCTTACACATTCTATTACAATGAGTTTTGCAGTTTTGCACATTTTTTAAATGTCATTAACTGTTAGGGAATTTTACTTGAATACTGAATACATATAATGTGTATATTAAAAAGTCATTGTTTGTGTTAAAAAGGAAATTAGAGTTGCAGTAAATTTTCAGCACTGCACGAATAATAAGGCATTTAAGTTTTTCAGTAGAAATTGTCCTGCAGATGCTTTATCGACTTGCTATTGAAAGAGTAGATCTTTTTTTAATGTGCAGTGTTGAGTCACTTCTTTATAGTGTAGAGTTGGGATTAAGGCTTCAATTTTACTTCTTTAAATATCATTATATGTTGGATATGCCCAGACTGCATACAATTTAAAGCAAGAGTACAACTACTATTGTAATGGTAATGTGAAGATACTATTAAAAAGGATTTTTTTTCTGGGAATTTGGTGTCTTTCAAATTAGACCTTGACCTTGACATTTGAATATCCAGCCATTATATTTCTTAATGGTGTGAAGTCCCATTTTCAATAACATATTGGTGCTGAAATTGTTCACTAGCTGTGGTCTGACCTAGTTAATTTACAAGTACAGATTGTGTAGGACCCACCAGAGAAGCATTTATAGTTTGATGGTAAGTAGATTAGGCAGAACGTCATCTAAAATATTCTTAGAAAATAATGTTGATGTATTTTCCATACCTCATCAGTTTCATTCAACCAATAAAATTTTTAAAATTGTAACAAAGCTCTTAGGATTTACACATTTATATTTAAACATTGATACATGAATATCGATTGACTGTTGATAAAGTGATAAAGTCAGAGACAACTTTTCCTAAACTCTCACCATTGAAATTTGTATGCCACCTTGTGTTTCCTAAAAGCTGAAGTGGTGACTAAAATGAAAAGCAGCTATTAGTGTTTTGGAGATAGTGATAAACACTGTTCTTTGTTAGTTTTGGGCACAGCATGCTAAACTATAACTTGTATTGTTCCAATATGTAACACAGAGGGCCAGGTCATGAATAATGACATTACAATGGGCTGTTGCACTGTTAATATTTTTCCTTTGGAATGTGAAGGTCTGAATGAGGGTTTTGATTTTGAATGTTTCAGTGTTTTTGAGAAGCCTTGCTTACATTTTATGGTGTAGTCATTGGAAATGGAAAAATGGCATTATATATATATTATATATATAAATATATATTATACATACTCTCCTTCCTTTATTTCAGTTACCATCCCCATAGAATTTGACAAGAATTGCTATGACTGAAAGGTTTTTGAGTCCTAATTAAAACTTTATTTATGACAGTATTCACGATTAGCCTGAAATGCATTCTGTAGGTAATCTCTCCCGTGTTTCTGGAATGCTCTCTTAGACTTGCTGGGTGTGCAGCAGCTTATGTGTCTGAAATGACTTGAAGGCACCATCTTTTAAGAAGGCTTACAGTTGGGCCCTGTGCCATCCCAAGTCCTCTGTAATTCCTCGTGGACATTTTTGCCATAATTGTAAAAGGGTAGTTGAATTCAGTAACATCACCATTCTTTGCTGTGGCACAGGTTATAAACGTAAGTGGAGTTTACCGGCAGCATCAAATGTTTCAGCTTTAAAAATAAAAGTAGGTTACAAGTTACATGTTTAGTTCTAGAAAATTTGTGCAATATGTTCATAACGATGGCTGTGGTTGCCACAAAGTGCCTCGTTTACCTTTAAATACTGTTAATGTGTCATGCATGCAGATGGAAGGGGGTGGAACTGTGCACTAAACTGGGGGCTTTTACTGTAGTATTTGGCAGAGTTGCCTTCTACCTGCCAGTTCAAAAGTTCAATCTGTTTTCATATAGAATATATATACTAAAAAACTGAGTCTGTAAAACAGCCTTACTCCGATTCAGCCTCTTCAGATACTCTTGTGCTGTGCAGCAGTGGCTCTGTGTGTAAATGCTATGCACTGAGGATACACAAGTATGACGTGTACAGGATAATGCCTCATGCCAATCAGATGTCCATTTGTTACTGTGTTTGTTAACAACCCTTTATCTTAGTGTTATAAACTCCACTGAAAGCTGATTAAAGTCTCATTCTTGTCATTGTGTGGCTGTTTTATTAAATGAGAGTATTTATAATTCAAATTACTTAAACCCATTGAAATGTTTAGTAATGGGCAGCCAAATACGATTGCAAAGTTCCTGTAGGTTTTTCAGTTTTTTCCCCCTCCTCAGTGTTCTTCATAGCCAACTATTAGAAAAGCATGCCTTTTGTCATCTCGGGAGTAGACTCCTATCTGTCTACTCGTGGCTAAGAGAAGCACTTAGAGCCTGAGTTAGTCATCACGTCACAAATTATTCCAGGCACAGTAAGGAATATATTAATCTTGAAAAAGTTAAAGTTTTTTTTTTTTTTTTTTTTTTTAAAAAAAACAGTGCTTATTTCTGTTTTATAAAACCAGATGTCTGAAGATAGGTATTTCCCCTCTTCCCCCCATGGGCTTACTGTCTGGGTCTGTTCTGTGGCTTTCTGTTGTCTAACTCAGCAGTTGGCTATCAGCACATGGGAGGCTTCATCAGGACCTGCCCCATAGGAAGATGTTTGGAATAGTGGGCTCAAATATAATCTCGTTTCTAATACTGTTAAAGGTTAAAGAACAAGGCAGAGCCTTTCAGCGGACAGTAAGATCATTAGTGACAGTGTAGTTTGTACAGATGTTTTAAAAGGAAGCAGACCATTCATGCCACTGTGGAATTTTAATGTTATATAAAGTTTATAGTTTCTCTGACTTTTTTAAAAAGTAAATTGAGTAACATGTAATTATGTAAAGAGATTTGAAGATTGAATGAATTCACACATTTTCTTTAGATTTCTTAGGTAGTGCATATGGGTTAAAACTTGAATATAAAGGTATTTTGATTTATAAGGTGTTTGATGTTTGAATACCAGTTTCCTGGTGTTTTGCTTTTAGATCATATCCCCATTCTACTGTAATTTGAACTAACTTGGTTCAGTGAATGCCATCACCATTTCCATTGAGAATTTAAAAATCACCAGTGTTTAACATGCAGGCTTCTGAAAGGCTCCCCAAAAAAATCAAGACCCATAATTCCAGTTAATTAACTGCTAACATGAAACTTTTAGTTATTTCATATTTTGTTAATTTGTGATACATCTAAAGCATCGTCTTAAATGGCTTGCACGTAGCGTTTACTTAACAGTGCTATGCTAGGGCAGAGAGAAATGTTGCTGAATGGAAACAGCAGTACCCGGTCTGATCTGGTGCAGAGAGCAGTACCTAAAGTCCCACCCACAGGGTAATGGAAATCAGCCACAGAGGCTGATTTTCCTATGGAATTACATTGCAACAGGAAGTCTTCTGGTATAATTCTTTTAATGTTAGAACACATTTTTATGGTTATATACTATTTCTGTTTTTCCATCGTTGAACAGGTATCAGGATGTGGATGGGTAACTTTAAACACTTACAATGTGAAGACAGGAGGACGGTGTCATTAAGAACAGGCCTCTTTCTCTTAATTTAGCTATTCTGAGAACTCTTTCCTGACATAACATCATCACAGTTCCCTTGCCCTTGGAGACACACCCCGTATTATGAAATATAGTTTAGTGACTAAACAATCTTTTTTTTTGTTTATTCATGTACATTTTCTGTTTAAAACTTAATTCTGTACTGTGTATGTCTCCAAAGCCTTTAGCTTAGTTTTTAGGAAATGGACACCCAATGGATTGGGTCACTTTTTAACGCAGCAGGTATGGGATATGTGCATTAGAGACGTTCCAGTTCTGTGGGTCTACCTGAATGTTTATCGTTGGCGTGAGGTGGTGAATAAGTAAGCACAACTGTTCTATTGGTTTAGCCTAGCAACCTTAATGTGGATATTTCTCTTCGAGAACCATCTTAAAGCAGGGTGTGTGAAGCACTGATGGGCAGCGACCTTTATCACTCTCTTCCTCTTGGAGTTTGCAAACGGTTGTTCGGTTTGGAGCAAATTCGTGTCTAATCTTGTCCCCTAAATAAAAGCAAGAACTACTACTGATTTACCACTCAGCTGTCTTTATACGTGTGCTCCTGTGACTTGCATCACACGAGAATCTTAATAGTTCACAAATTGTTACCTTTTAGCTCTGAATATTTAGTGTTGTGATGGGCTTATAACAAACTCTTGACAGTCATTTGAGAATTTTCATGAACCATTTAGCTGAAAGCATTTTATAATTTATAAGAAAATGTGTATCAAGAAACTTAACGTATACGGGAGACATTAACTGCCATTTTTGAGCATATTGCATTTTAAAATAAAGCTGCATATTTTTAAATGAAGTGTTTAATAAGGATTTATATTTTTTGTTTTTTAAGATTTAAAAATAATTTATGTCTTCTCATATGTGGGATCTCTGTCACAATGGTTAGATTTATGTAGAATAGAGCAAGGCGTGTGTTTGAGCTTACAGTAAAACTCTTAATGTTTAAATGTGTTCACTTACTGGCTGTCATGTATGCCTTTGAGATTTTTCTGCCTGTTTTGTGCAGTTGTCTAAATGATACTCCTACATTTACAAATATCATCTTAGTATCTATTTTCTGTCTCCATTAAATTACCCCCATTCTCTACTGAGTTTGCAGGTGTGCACATTTATGTGTGTGTGTGTGTGTTTGTGGGGTGTGTATGGGAGAACTAGCTTTGGAAGTGCTAGAATAGAGATGAAATTTGGTTCAAGCAAAATTTTCCCACTGAGATTTTGCAGTTCATTGTAATAAAATGTTAATCTTGGATAATATTGAATATTAATGAATTTGTTAGTAGCTTCTTGATGTGTGCATTAATAAGATATATCAAAGTTGTACATTAAACCAAAGTTGGAGTTGTGGAAGTGTTTTCTTATGAAGTTCCGTTTGGCTACCAATGGACATAAGACTAGAAATACCTTCCTGTGGAGAATATTTTTCCTTTAAACAATTAAAAAGGTTCATTATTTTTGATGATTTGTTTCTTAGCTTTTTATTCATCCAACGAGTTTTAACACCCTGCTGTGAATAACAGGTATTTGGAATGTTATTGAGTAAAAGAGGCACATCCTGTCCTTCTGGTGAAGAGTTTAGACTCGTAAACTACCTAGAGGCTGTGGGCTGTGCTGGGAAGCTCAGGATGCATGCATATGCTCCACTGTGCGGATCTCTGACATTCTATGGGCACCCCTGCATTTCCATCCCCTCAGTTCCAAGACATCCTGTTTACTAGTTCATTCCAGTGCAGCAGTCACAAAGTACTGAGACACGTCCTAGTAAAGGCAGTGAGAAATCCCTGTACTATCCATTCTTTCTTCGTTGCAGTGACTTGAAGTATGTCTTATTGTATGCCATGGCTCTGTCAGCCATGAGATACTGCATGAGATACATACACTTCTTAAGAATACTACATGGAGTAGAACTCAAAGTTCCTCCTTCACCCCCCTTCAGACTCTTAGCCCCACTGAGAAACAATCATGTTACTATTTTGGGTTAGTACACCACTAAAGTGTTGTTTATTCTAACGTGCTTCAAAAACCTTAGGTTTCTTGAGCAACAAAGGGATTTAATAATAAAACCCAACGTATTTAGGTTACCTGGTTCAATTAACAAAATGCGAGACATCCAAACATTTTTGAGAAATAGCTACTGAGGTTTGTCAGGCGGCATTATTCTGGGTGCTCAGTGTGCACCTGGGTGAAGAGCAATTTCCTGTCTGTGAGCTTTGCATTCTAGCCAGAGAAGCAGACTGAAGAGCCCAGACAGAGGCTAATAGGTACATTTGGGGAAATGTGTCAGCTAAAGGTGGGGTGATTGCAGTGTTGGATGGGTTATTAGGGGATGGATTCAGCAGGAGTCTGCAATTTCAGTAGACTGAGGCAATTTGCACTCAGAAGCCTCCACAAAACTTCAGACTGACATCTTGAGTTTGAAAATTTTTAGTATAGCTAAGGAGAATTTATAACCATCCTGTTGTCTAAATTGATTTGGTAAATCTTATTTAAATGATTGGTTCCTCTTCTCAGAGTTAACTTTTCTTTAGTATTTTTCTTTGTGTTTTGAAAAGTTCATTATGACCTTAAACACTAACGCTGTAGGGTCATGTCATTTATGATTTGCTTATGGAAAATGATGTGAATTTTGAGCTATTCAGGAAATGGGTGAGATTTATGGCCTGGTACTGTGTATGTATATATA